AGGCCCCGCCCCTTTCCCAGAGGCTCGCGCGCTCAGCGCGCGTTGCTTCCGCTTCCGCGCGGCATCGGTGGGCGGGAGCCCGTGGTGGGCGAGCCCGCCCCAGCCCGGGCACGCCCCACCCCTTCTCGCCCCCTCCCCGCCTCCGCCGCGCCCCGCCCCGCTTTGCCCCGCCCCTTCTAGGTCCCAAGGGTTCCGGGCACGTGACGCGCAGGCCCCGCCCCTTTCCCAGAGGCTCGCGCGCGCAGCGCGCGTTGCTTCCGCTTCCGCGCGGCATCGGTGGGCGGGAGCCCGTGGTGGGCGAGCCTCCCCGGGCGGGCGAGCGCCTGAGCGAGTTCGTGGAGAGTTGCTGCCGGACGCAGTGAGGTTGTCTCCGGTCGTGCGTGTGTCGGAAGGGGAGGAGGCTGAACACGTGCCCGTCATGTCCGGTTCTCTCGCGTACCTCCCAGACGTACCCTCCACTACCTGTCAGCTCAGTTGTTGGGCTCGTTCTGTTCTTTGCATGCATCAGGAAGTTGTAATTTCTTTGCAGACGAGGATGAGGGGCCAGAGACGAGGGTGGACTGGGAGGGAGCCTTCGTGTTCTCATGGCTGGCCCTGCACTTTGGCCGTGCTGGGACCACTGACCGGTCACGGCACCTCTCTGCCTCAGTTTCCCCATCTGTGAAATGGGAGAGTAATACTGGCCTGCCTACCTCACAGGGGTGTTGTGAGCATCCATTTGTGATCTTCTTTGTGTGATTTTTCTTTTCTTTTTTTTTGTACAGAGCTGTTCAGAATTAAAAACGGCAAAATGTGACGTGTGCCTAACTTGTGTGTATTGGGGGTAGAGAATGGGCGCAGACTGGGGTCCCAGCTCCTTCAGGTAAGGGTGAGTGGGCAGGGTCAGTGTCTGACTCTGTAGAGGGAAGACTTTTCTGCCCCCTCAGGCCACCCTTGCCTCCCTCACCTCCCCAGTCTGCCTTCCTTCCCCATGTGGGCTGCCAGGGATGTCGTGCTCAGCCCCACAAGCCAGTTCACCCCGAAGCGTGCACTGCTGTGCCTGGGGGAATAGATTGAAGTGGCATTTCAGACTCTTAAGGGAGGCACAACCCTGCTTCCATTTCCTCGTTTTGCACCCTCGTGTGCCACCCGGCTCTTTCATCCTGGGATGCTTGGACACACTTGCACTGAAAGATCTATGTGTAAGGAAACGAGAGCAAGGTGAGACGAGTGCTGCCCGCAGACTTCGCCCCACGCTCTTGGGGGTTGGGGCTGGTCAGAATGGAGCCACCCTGGTCATCTCATCGGCCTGGGCAGGAAGGTCTCCTGGGTTGTGTCCCAGCACGGCAAGGTGCCAGGGTGCTCCCCGAGGCTTGAGCGAGCCTAGAGGCTGTGCACTGGGGCTCGTGTGCAAGCGGGGTGGGGGCAGCCTGCACTTCTCTGTCTGGGAGAAGGGTCTGGTGTGGATGGTGTGTCCAGGTCGCCCGGTAAGATCGGCGTCGGTGCGATGAAGTGCCTGTGTGTGCCTAGTGCAGAAATTGTGGTTCCACTGAGTTGGTTGTTTGAGTTATTTGTTCCTGCAGCTAAGGAGACCAGCTGAGGTGTTCCCAAAGTAGTGGGGTCAGGACAAGAGGCTCCTTAAAAGCCAGGGAAGCCCGGGGTGGAGGGGACTGGAGCTGGGGCTGGATGATCAGGGAGACCTTGGGGAAGGGCTGACTTGGCGGTTTCCCAGAGGAAGCCAGCAGGGGGCTAACCCACCCCACCTGCCTTTGCAAGGATAGGAGAGGGTTCGGTCTCCAAGCTCCTGGGGAGTGGAGGTCCAGAGGTCGCTGGGGCTCTAGGTAAATTACTTCCTTCCCCAGGGGCCACACATGTGAAACTGCTGACCAAGCTTTGCCTTAGCATGTGAGTTGTGGGAAAATGAGAAATGCATGTTCCCTCCCCCCTTGGCCCTAAGGAGGGGGGCCAGATACTGAGGTCTGCTGGCACCTGCTCTTCTGGGCCCCTGTGCTGGCTTTTTACTGGTACCGTTGTGTTTATGATAGGGAGAAGTCCGGAATGAGGACATTCACAGAGGAGGAAACGGAAGATCGGACAGAAGACAGAGACCCGCTCAAACCAGAGGAGCTGGAAGAAAGAAAAGAAAGATATGTGTTGTCTCAGAAGCCAGAGGCCCAGCATTTCAGTGCGTTTCCTTTGCTCTGTGTGCCGTTCTGTGCTTTCCGTGTGAGTACGCAGTGCGTTCACCTCTGCTCTGTGAAGCGGGATCCATAGTCTGAATACGCTGTCTGGTCTTTTACCACGTCGTGACGGTTACTTTCATTTGTCATGTTTGCTGGGTCATGAGGCACTGAGATAAGTGGTTCACCATTATTCTGGGCGTTTCTGCGAGGGGTTTGGAATGACTTTCGCATTTAAATCCCTAGACTCTGGAGCACACTGCCCTCCCCGGGGGTGAGGCAGCCAGTCAGCCGAAGACCCACGTAGAACAGAAAGGCTGCCCCTTCCCCGGACAAGAGAGACTTCGACCCGATGCCTTCTAGCTTGAGCTGCATGGGCTCTGCAGCTTTTGGGCTTGGCAGTTTCTGTAAGTGCCTGGCCAGTTTCTTAACATGAACCGTCAAAGCAACAACCATCTTTCTCCTGTTTCTCTGGAAAACCCTAGCTAATTGGCATTTCAAAAAGTATGTTTCTCCCTGTGCCTTTACCTTTGGCAGTATTTAGTAACTACACCGGGCTCCCAGGGAGGGCCCCCTACACATTTTTTTTAAATATTTATTTATTTGTGCATACAGAACTGGGGTACAGGACAGAGGCGCAGGGGCGGTGAGAGGCTTCACTGGAGACAGAGTGGGGAGCAGAACAGGCAGATTGATGAAGTACACTGCTGAGGGGAGCAGCGGGCGGGTCAGGAGAGATCTGCCGCGCCCTGGGGGTGACCTTCCAGGATGGCAGGGATCGAACTCATGGCTTCGGCTTCTCAGTGCTGTGCTTTAACCCGCTGCACCACCAGGGAGGGCTCCCAACACCATTTTTAAACACTAACTTTATGTCAGGTGCTGGGCTGGACGGTTCAGTTATGAATAGGATTGCAACGGCCCTGGTGGCGCAGTGCCGTGACAAGGAGTGTGGTTGCTGTGTGCCAGGGCCTCAACTTAGACTGGGTGGTCCCCTTTGCAGTTGTATGTCGAAGGCCGAGGAGGACGTAGGGTCCTTTTCTTCTGAGGGAAAGGCCCCAGACAGTGGAAGGAGCATGCGTAAAAGTCGGCGTGGCCAGCAGAAAGCAGTCAGCGCAGTGCGGGGTGAAACTGGGAGCGGCGTGAGCACGCTGGGTCTGCGGGTCACTTAGGGGTGTGCGTTGTCCCAGGAGCCACAGGGAGTCAGCCAACGCTTTGAGCCAGGAAGTGATGTAATCAGAGGTGTGTGCTTGCTGATTCCCTGGGGCTGAGCTTGCGCCGGGGGTTCCCGGGTAGGTCTGTTTTTGGGGGGGCGATTCCAGAGCGTACCGTAGACTGGGAATTTGAGGCAGGGACGGGGACAGCACGTAGTGTGAAGTCAGGCAAGTCACCCCCGCGGCCACTGGACCTTGCTGGGCGTGTCTGGGAGCCAGCGCAGGCCCTGTCCCTCAGCTTTGTCCCCCGAGCGGGGAGAGCCGGGTTGGCACACACCGCCTCCCACCGACCTCTGCTGAAGGCTGTCTGTGCGGGCCAGGTTTGCCCAGCACCTTGTCCTCCCCCTGGGGGGGCCGCTCGGACTGTGGGGGTCCTTGGGCAGAGTTGCGGTGGGGGCCGTGGGTTGGACAGAGTGATAGGACGGGGAGGGGCAGCTGGGGGTCTACAGTCAGGGAGGGAGGCGCCCGCGGGGAGGCTTTTTTAACAAAAGATGTATTTGTTTATGCACACAAGCACTGGGAGACAGACCAGGCGTGTTGGGGGTGGGCGAGAGCATCCGCCAGAGACAGAGCGGGGAGCAGAAGAGGCGGGTCTGCCGAAACACACTATGGAGGGCCAGGAGAGGCCGGAGACCCTCGCGCGTCGTGCGGGTCCCTCGCCGGCGGGGATCAGCCGTGCTGCCGTGGCCACTGGCGTGCGCCAGGAGGGCCCAGGGGAGAGGCAGGAGGCATGGCTGGCCTGAGCTACAGAGGCGGAGGGGACGAGAGGCTCTCCCAGGGCCTGCTGCCCTCCAGCTTTACTCAGACTGGAGTGCCCGGTCTCCAGGCCTGGCCTGCCATGCACTGCTGCGGCCACCGCTGAATCCTTTCTCAGAACCCCGCTCTCCCAGCAGGACTGGGGCCCTCCCCGGCGGCTCAGGGTTCAGGCACAGCAGCAAGAAGCTCGAGCCATGTCCGCATGGGTTCCATCCCGCTGCGGAGGTGACCCACACAGCGTGGCAGACCTCCCCTGACCCGCCTGCCGCCGCCCCCAGCAGGGGACTTTGTCCACCTTCCTGTTCTGCGCCCCACTCTGTCTCTGGGGCATCGTCTCCCCTGTGGCCTGTGCCCCAGTTTCGTATGCACCCATAAATAAATCTTTAAAAAAAAGAAAACCCAGCAGGGCTGACCAGGTGGTGCTTCAGGGCCCTTCCGTAGAACTCGCCTTCCAGGCGGGCTCACGTCCTCCCCCTGCAAATAGTAGGGAAGAGAGCAGAGAAGGAGTGTCCCTGGGGGCATCCAGCCTGGCTCAGAGGGCCTTGCCCCGTCGTGACCATGACCACGAGGGCGCGAGCACGACTCCCAGGCTGGCTGGAGCCGGACCTCTGCCCCAGAGGGGCAGCCCACAACCGTGTGTCTTTTCAGTGAGCACAGCAGCTTGTGCCGTTTCCACATTTCCCTGGTGCCCTTGTTTTGTGTCTGGGGCTGGGAAAGGAAACGTGTGTGAATACTGGTGGCAACGAGGCTTCCCGAGCACCCTGGTCCCTCCTGCCCCCCTTCGGGGTTCAGGGCCAGTAGTGATAGCCCGTCTCTGTGGTCTCTGTTTTGTGCCAGAGTTGCCCACATTGGGCTGTTTTTAAAGGGTGAAATGAACTGCCAGTCATTAACAGTCAGAATGAGATTTCTGGGTATTTTCTGTCATGTCGCAGTGTTGGGCTTACACTCTGTGAGGGGCCATCAGCCTCGGGCAGAGCCACAGGCCAGCTTGTGGAAGGTGTGTTCACCGCCACCGTAGTCCCCATCGGTCCCTCCGGTCACCTAGTTGCAACCTGACTACCCGCTGCCTCTTATCACTGAGTGTCTGTGGCTGTTTCTCAACTCACAGAGTCGATGAGGACAAAATATTTTGGGTTTGCACATGTCCAACAAAAGAAAAAAAATAAAAGGCAGTTTGTTTATATTTTCTGCCCGGCCAGCGGGTGGCATTGCCAGGGGGTGAGTCATATAGGGCCGCTCATGGAAGGCCGCCTCGGGGACATGACCACCCACCAAGTCGTGGTCAGCGCACATCATTTCACACATTTATTTACATATTTATCTTCCATTTTGAAAGGACGGGGAAGGCAGAACAGGCAGAGCGGCTGGACAAGACCCATCTCGCCACTGGCCGTGGCAACACACTCACCACACGAGAGGGGGTCCCGGACAGGTCTTCAGTGGCCGGCAGCCAGGTGGGAGCCCCTGGGGTGCAGCAACGGACGTAGTGTGTGGTCGGCCCAGCTCATTTTGAGGGCCCGAGGAGACGCGGAGACGACAGTTTGGACCGGGAGATTCCGGGCAGACCTGTAAGTTCAGGCACGCCAGTGCAAAAAGCAGAAGGCTGCTTGCCCTCTGACGCGTGGGCACCCCGCGGCGCCCTGGCCGGCCTGCTGCACTCACCACACCGGCCCGCTCCTGTTCCCTGGGGGCTCCCCCAGGAGCCCCTGGGGGACATAGTCCTGGCAGCTGTCCCCCGACAGGTGGTGCAGGCACGTGGCTTCGTAGACGAAGTTCAGGTGACCGTGGTGCAGTTTGCACTTCACCTCGTGCAAACCGGACTTGGGTCTCGTGTCGCAGCCGCCGAGGAGGTCATCGTCCGCGCCGCTGTCGGAGTCCCAGACCTCCACCCTCAGGGGCCCGCCCGTGAGCAGGCTCGCGTCCTTGAACTCCAGCGTGTCGTGCCATTTGGGGTGGTCGCTTTCCCACATCGTGGCTGTCCTCTGCTCCCTGTCTCCGATGAAGGCCTTCACGTAGGCGTCCGTGGCGCTGAGCCAGTCTCCCCACAGGCCCTTCGCCCGGAAGTCCTTAACCTTCAGGTTGGCCAGGCCCTTGTGGCGGGGGCAGCAGCCGTGGGTGGTGAGCGCCAAGCTGTGGCACACGCACTGGCACGGGTCCCGGGCTTCGTGGTGCCCCCCGGGGCAAGGCCGCGTGCACTGGCTCCAGCGTGCCTTGTCCAGCAGGTACTTGCTGACGGCCTGCCTCAGCGCCTCCCGGTGCGGGTCCTGAGCGCCCAGCAGCACGTGCAGCGGCTCCAGCGCATAGTCCACGAGGCCCGGGGCGGCCCTCAGCGAGTCTGCCCACCGCGAGAACGCCTCGGGCCCGGTGTCCTCCCCGAACAGCAGGTCCAGCGTGGTGTTGTGGTGGCCTCCCACTGTGTGGGTGTATCGCTCCTGGAAGGTCTCGTGGAAGGAGTATTCTATTTTGTGGTGCTTCTTCTTCTCCTCACAGTCCCTGAGTGCCGTTGAGGTCGCGGCCTTGCCGCCTATGCTGACCGCGGCCTCCAGGGACAGGCAGTCGTTCACCTCGCGGCTCGTGAGCCCCTGCAGGGCCAGTTGGCAGGTGCGCAGGGCCGTGAGGGTCAGGATCCGGCCCCCTAGGGTCATGGACTGGATGAAGTGGGTGCCGTAGTTGGCGATGAGCCTGAAGTATTCGCTCTCGGTGGACAGGTTGAATTCGGGCTGCAGGGACCTGAGGGCCCTTTTGAATTCAGGGTGGAGTGGGGGCTTGTGTACTAGTTTACAGCTGAGGGGAGAGAAGAACATCAGGTGCAGCGGAGGGCAGCGTTCCCCCATCCAGCGGCTCCCTCAGCATGGCCGAAGGCCACGGGGCAGGGGCAGAACAGGGACCTGAGCCCAGCTGAGCCCAGGCGGCCTGGCCCCAGGGCCCAGACTCCTAAATCATTGGGCCTGTTTGCCGTCACAGGACGGACGTGGTATAAAGTTTGCACTTTCCTTCCAAAAATAGTTTCTTCTCTGTTATTGATTTTCCAGTTACAAAGTGTGATGGTGTCACAGGGCAGCCCAGAGTGGACCCACACTGCCTGTGGTGGGGCCGCCCCGTGGCCCTCAGAATGTCACTTTCTGCAGGCACACACGAATGGGTCATGGGTTTATTTACAAAAAGGGCGAAGGAAAAGGAAACAACCCAGGGAAGAGACGTAGCTGGAGTGCTCCACCAGCTGCTGACGTGGTCGCAAGCTCAGGCTGCCAGCCGCAGTCACACGGGCTGAGAGCCGTTGCTCCAGAGAGAGAGAACCGTCACCTCACCAGAGCGACGGTTGGAAAACCATGCCCTGTTTATCCCCCAAATGTCCCAGGATTCCTGCGAGCTCTGCCCTGGGGTCCTGCAGTTCTCTCCCTGGCGCTGCTGGGAGTTGTAGTTTCCAGTCCCTGGAGCAGGGGGTGGAGTCCACAGGACTGCAGCTCCGTTAGGGCGTCCTTCCCCCTAACACTGGGACTGTACTGATGGTGCCTGCTGGCTCTCGCAGCCAGGCCTGTCGCGGCAGCCCTCACCTGTCTGTCTGCTCGACTGCGCCTGCCCTGACCGCTGACAACTCTGCTCACGTAGCTGTTCTGTCTTGGGTAAAGGTAGTGTGCTGATACAGGAAACCAGAGTGGGTGGCTCGAGACCACACGTTTCTTGGGTTGGAACCTGGGTCCCGAGGGCTGGGGGCCATTGCAGTTGCTCACACTGTGGCTGTGACACCCAGCACCGAGCCTCACAGTCAGATATAAACCGTAGGTGAAAGGTCAGTGTTGGGAGGGACCCACCCAGGTCTGTCCTGCCCTGCCCTGCCCTGCCCAGCCCAGCCCAGGAAGGACCCTGCAGAACCCATGATGCTCATAAAAGGGGGGGGGGCGGTCATTGGGAACACCTCCCTGGCATGCTCTCAGGCACAGCCTGCAAGCACCCCCCTCCCTGCTTGCTCCCTGGGCGCCAGGTCTGGACTGCAGTGGCGGGAGGCCATGGGCACTGCCCCTCCAGCTGGGTGAGGACCAGGACTGCACTGTCCTCTTGGTGAGGGCGGTCTCTGTGTGCCCCGCTGGCCGTTCCTGGGCTTCTGGACCCTCCGCGCTTTACCACCTTTTCCTCGGGCCCCCTCCATCCCCACTCCCGAGCTCACCTGTAGAGTCGACACTCCACCTCATCCTTGCTGAAGCTGTACTGGTCCTGGTACATTTTCTCGGCTGCAAAGTCAGCTGCCTCCGAGTGCGACCCGGCTATGGTCACATGCGCGTTGATAGCGGGATTGGGGTTCACGTCCAGCCCCACCTGCCAGTCATTGTTGATCTGCTTAGCGGCGTCCTGGGCCACGCTCTCCACAGAGCCGACCTCGGCTTTGAGCACGCGGTGCTGGCACACCGAGGGCTGGGCGCGCCAGTGTGCAAGGGCCAAGGGCAGGAGCTGCAGCTTGTTGTCCTGCAGACTGTTCCTGCAGAGGGTGCAGGTGCCGTCTGGCCGCTGGTAGCGCGCCGTGTCCACTGGGAAGGCACCTGAGCGCTGGAGATTGGTCACGTCCACTCCCTCCCCTGCCAGCCACGAGCCGGGCACGAAAGTCATGTGTTTTTTGCATTCAGAGTGTGCGAAGCTGTAGCAGGGGGCAGGGGTGGGCGTGGGCAGCAGGAGCAGGAGAAGCCCCTGGAGAAACACGCAGGTGGCCATGGCGCTGCAGAGACGGGTCGCTGGGCCCCACCGCTCTGCCCGGCTGCGGCTTATGGGGATCTCTGGAACCCTGAGGGAATGTGATCTCTGTGAGTTGTTGAGTGTCGGAGCTGGAACCATTTTGGGGAGGGAGCCGGTGCGCTGGAGAAGTCGAGGTTCTGGGAAAGGCCATTTGGCCCCCAGGGCACTGCCTTCTCTTCCAGCATCCCTCCAAGCCCACCCTGTCTGCATCCTGGGTTCTTGAGATGCGGGGAAAGAGTAGGCCAGGACTTCTCCTCCTTCTCTCCACCTCCCCTTCAGAGGGCTTTTCCTGAGCCTCACGGAAGAACATCAGTCTGGCTTCCAGAGTCAAACCCCAGCCTACCCTGGGATCCTGCTCGGGGAGGATCTGAGCCGGCTCCAAGGTCTCCCACGGACGCTCGCGTCTGCTGCCAGTCCCTCCACTCTGGGACCCCGTGGTAACTGAGTGCCCATTGCCTGTACCTGGGCACCAGGTACCTGGATGTTTCTTTCCGACTGTGAGGTGGCTCTGGAGCTTCAGCTAGGTTTGTCTGTAATCGCAATCTCCCCTCCCCAACCCTCTCCAAACCGAGTTCCTCGAAGGACTTTCCTTTCTGGCACCTGGCAGAGGCAGGTGCCTCCCTGTGCCCAGGTTGATGGAGGGCGTGAGCTCCCCCTGCACTCTGCCCGGAGCCTCTCTACCTTGCCCCAAGGCGTGGCTTGAATGAGAGAATCCCAGGCAAGGTGGCGGCCCCAGGAGGGGAATAGAGAAGACAGGCTTTGGGTCAACACCTGGGATCACCCTCTTAGGGGCCGGCACAGGGCGTAACCCTAACCCAAGGCGTTTAGTCTCCACACAGACCCTCACCACGTTCTCTCCCGGGGTGCGTGTTTTCAACTTCCGTAGTGACTCTCACGTCGCCACCTGAGCGGCTGGGAGACTGCTCTGAACTCTGCCTGCTTCATGAGAAACAGCCCCGCAGTGGGCTCAGGGAGTCACCAAGTCTCTCTGCCGTGCGTCAGCACTTCCTGCTCTGCTAGGCAGTTTCCTTCAAAGGAGTGACGGCCTGCCCATGCACCTTTGTCCCCATTGGGTGCTCCCAGTCACCCCCAGCCCCTCCTGCCTTCCTACCTGGAGTCCTGTGGAGCTGCGCTTGCAGGGATGTCCTTAGCTCTCACGCAGGCTTCAGAAACGGTGGCCCCAGGCCCCCGGCTCGGCAGGCACACGTCTCAGAGGGCGAGGTCACCTCGCTTCCTGCCCCGCCCGCTGTGGTCAGGAGCTCGCCTCCCACCATGCCTGCTCTGTGCTCACCCTCTGCTCTGCAGGCAGCCCCCCGGAAGCAGGCGAAGGGCGCCGAAGCCTCACTGGCAGGCAGGCGTGTCGGGCTGTGCGGCGGCCAGAGCGATGAGGCCGAGCCTAGAGGGACACCCAGGGCCCAGGATGGCAGGGCTCGGCTCTGAGGCTCCACGCAGGGGCCACCGAGTGGGTCGCGGCCGAGTAGCGCAGGCAGCTGAGGCATCACTCGCTGTGTGGCCCGGGACACTGCGCCAGCACCTCTGTCCAGCCCTCCCCTCCCCCCCTTGTCAAAATGGGAACAAACCAGGGGGAACAGGCTGGCTGCAACTGCTCGTGGAGTCAACTGTGAGGCGCCCAGACAGGGCCTGGCCTTGGGGTGCAGTCTGGTTTCACCTTGGCCAGCGTTTGCAGCCACTGGTGGCTGATCTGTACCGGGGCCCCCGGAGGAGATGTGTGGGTGACACTCACCCACTCACCCACGACTTCATTCCTTTTCTTACCTGAGGTGTGGGTGAGTAAAGTTCCCACGGGTTGATTGACACGCAGGGCAACCTGTTTTTAATATATTTTTTTAAGACTTATTTGTGCATACAGAGCTGGGGTACAGGCCAGAGGCGCAGGGGCGGTGAGAGGATGCACCACAGTGTGGGGAGCAGAAGAGGCCGACTGAGGAAGTGCACTGCTGAGGGGAGCAGCCGCGGCCAGGAGCTGTCTTCCGCGCCCTGTGGTCACCTCCGGGGCCAGCGGGGATCAGAAGTCATGCTGATGTGGCTGTGGCTTCTCAGTGCTGCACTTCAACCGCTGTGCCCCCAGGGAGGGGCCCCTCGGGGCAACTCGTGAGGGCAACGTTACACAGGTCTCAGGTGGGTAAGTGGGGTTCAACAGGGGGACCGTGTATACATTTACCCTCCAGCTGTACATGTGACAGACCCAGTAGCCACAGCCGACCGTGCGTGACGCCACGGATTGCTCATCCCTGAGGTCAGTGCTCTCTCGGGTTCCTCACTCTGCTGCGGGCAGCAGTGCCTTCCTGGAGCCCGCCCCGCAGCCTCCCCTCCCTCTGCCGCCCAGGCAGCCTCGAGGTGCCCTTCCAGGTTCTGTCCTGGCCTGCCCCAGGCTGTGACTGTGCTCGGAAGACCAGCGTGAAGGGCACGGTGGTCCCGCAGAGACTGGGAGAGGGAAGGGGCACACAGGCAAGGCGCCCTCCCCGCTTCCCGGACTTGCTGTGCGACTCTTCAGCAGTGACACCCTTGCTCGGTTCGAGGCCTCGTGTACTGCCGACAGGCATTCTTTGGGGGTGCGAGGCGCCCTCAGGTTCTTCATGATGGCGCGTGCACTTAGCAGGCGTGCCCTGGCTTACGGAGTGGCCAGTGTCCAGGGCATGCAGGTGTGGGCAGCGTGTGGAGGGGCAGGAGGGCGTGGAGGTTCCCGGCGGCCGCGTTGGGCTTTCGCGGCTAAGGACAGCAGTTTCCTCCAGCTGGGACTTAGCACTGGGGTGTGCTTCTGCGCCGCGCCGCCTCAGATGTGTGTCAAGCAGAGCACATTTTCCCCCACTGCTACACACCAGTCGGTGTTTGAGGTACGCTTCGCTCATCGTGACCTCACCCATGTGAGTGCGGGGTTTGGTTGGAGATTTACAGGGTGCCGCCCGTTTCGGCACGTGCCACCGGCCCCCAGAGACACCCTACCCCTGCCCCGGCCCTGCTCCTCTACAGCCCACAGCGATTTCTTCTTGTGTCCGTGGGTTTTCCTATCCATCACGGCTGCACCACGCACATTCTTCCCTGCAGGAGAGCCCCACATTCTCGACATCATTGTTCCTGTCTGACTTTGATTATAATCGTTCCGTGTGTATGGAGTGGCATCTCACTGTGGTTTTTATTTGGATTTTTTCCCTGGTGGTAAATGATGTTGAACACATACTTTAAAAAGAATCATTGTCTTTATCTTCAAAAATTTTGATATCTCTACAAAAAAATTTTTTTCAAGATTTATTTCTTTATTCTGCATAGAAGAAGTAGGGTGCAGGCCAGGGGCAGGGGATGGGGAGCCGAGGGGATTCCCCCAGAGACAGAGTGGGGAGCAGAACAGGCAGATCCACTGAAACACACTGAGGGGAGCAGCAGGGAGACAGGAGAGGCCGGCTGCGCCCTGTGGGTGAGCGTCCCGGTGGGGCTCAGTCCATGGCAGTGATAGCACCGATTCTTTATCCCTCGGCCACCAGGGAGGCCCCGCGTGTGTCTTTATTTGCCGACTGGGCATTTGTGTATTTCCTTTGGAGAAACGGTTTCTCAAGTCCTTTGCCCAATTTTCAGTTGGGTTACTTTTCTTTATATTGTGAAGATTTATAAGTTAATATTTGGATTCTAGACTCTTCGGATACATGATTTCTTATTCCTAATTTTTCCTTCTTTCTCCGATGTTGTGGGTTTTCTCTTCACTTTCTTGGTGTCTTCTGAAGTACTTAAATTTTGATGAAGTCCAGTATATCTATTTTTTTCTTTTGCTGTTTAAGCTTTTAAAGGTCAGAGCTATCTAACTTAATCACCGAGGGACTCACGTTTACATCTTCGGTGAAGATAGATTGTTCAAGATCTATAGACGCCTTCCTACAGCCACAACTTGTACATGTTTGAGGCTGTTCTATTAAACAAGTTTATTTTGTCTTCCTAGTGACCTGAAATCTTTGTATGGTGACGTTCAATCCCAATAATGGTGTTCTGTCAGTTTTACCGGATATTAATAAAGCTACCTCACCTTTATTATTTTTTATTTATTATATTTAATTTAATTATATTTAATAATATGTTATTACACATAGCATTTTGATTATTATCCCTTTCACTTATTCTTTCTCCATCACTCTAATTTTCCCTTTTGGATTGCCATTTAGAAATCTAACAGGTCTGTTTTGCTCTCCTCCATGTCTTTTACATTCTTTTTCTTATTTTCTACTTTTTGTACTCTAGACTGTGTGCTCTTTGGACCTAGTGTGTATGTGTGTGTGTGTGTGTGTTTGTGTGTATATATATGTATATAAAATATATATGCATATGCATATATATAACATATATACACACACACTAATAAATATATGTATATTTACAAACGTACAGGTAATTCAGAGAATTTTTACTTTCAATTTTCATTTCTTAGAAACTCTTTGACCTTTTTAAAAGCACTCAAACTTAGTAATTTACATTTTTATGTGCACTCATGCCAGTATGTAGATCATTGGTGTGGCTCGTTCTTTATGCTGTTAAATCAGCTGCATATCCCCTCTCGGACATTCAGCTGGTATCCTTGAGTGTTTTCCTTAGAAGTTTCGATCGTGTGCTTATGCTGGGCGGCTCTTTACCTGTAGACAGTATTCCTTCAAAGCAGGTTTGCGTTTGCCTCAGTGAGGCTCTTTCCAGTTTAACCAATCTATTTATTACCTTCACATGTGGGAAAGGTAGTTCTGTGGTGATGCTGTTTTGGAAGAAACTGTCCTACTCAGATTTGAGACTGAGATCAGCAAGCATCTTTTTTGAGTCCCTTTTCTAATAAGTAGAGTACACCTCACTGATATTGGTGCTTTGGGAATTTATTTAGGTGTTTTGTGCGATGATCCATCTCTAAGACTCCCCTAGCCACCCCTCAGGGCTTCCTGCTCATCACTTCTGCGCTCATCATGACTTGAGGCTCTGGGTTTTTGGATAGC